ACATATATATATTACAAGTATATAAAGTAAAAAAATATTGATAATGTTGTATTCCAATGTATTTTCCCAATTTAATAATTATTTTTTCCATATGTAGGATTAGATCTTATCATATTATATATACTTATAACAGTTCTATGAAAAAAAGGATGAAACTACTGTATATCAAAACGATAATTTTTCAATGTTTAAATTTAGAAAATTATTCATTGCACAAATGATAATCTTATCTAAAACTATATTATTTTTAAGTAGCATAAAATCGAACCTTTTATTGATAGATTTGTTTTATGTATACTTAATAATATCAAATAAAATGTATAATAATACAAATATAGACAGTTATAACATTTCGAGTTCTATCTACATAGAGAAAATAAAATATATATTTGAAATATGTATTAATACATAAAAGGATACAGAAATTTTTTTCTTACAATATAATATACACGCTTCATCAGATTTAAAATCAATTACAATAAACATCTTCTAGTAGTTACTGAATCCAAGAATTTACGTAAATGTATATGCTAAATAATCTTAAAAGTGAGTAGTTAATATATATTTATATTTTGAAAATCAGTGATTAATGATTTTTGAAATTGGATGATGTGGTAATAGGTAAATATTATAAATACATTGATACTGTGTAGTTTTAAAAAAAATAAAAATTTAATTATTCCTCATTATAATAAAAAAATGGTTTTTTATAAACCCAATAATATGATATATGTTATGATTAAAATACACTTGATATGTGTATGGTGACTGTTAAAATGGGTACATAAGAGAAATAAATGAAATCCCTAGTGCTCATAAAGGAAATTTTTTAATATGTAGAATTTCTTATGGTATAAAAACATAAATAATACATTTATGCCACTATCATATATTTATATATATTATGTATATCTAAGAAAGAATAAATAATTCAGTATAGATATATGCAATAATATTGACAGATATATAAATGATTGCTATATAAGGATTTGTAAGCAAATATAAATCTATATGTTAAATAAGTGTTTATAATGTGCACATACAAACATAACAAATAATAAAAAACACTAAAATTGTTTTATTCACATAGAAGTATATCTTATGAATGTTATTATGCTCAATAATTTTTCTTAAAGATAATATTTTAAACTACAAAAATATAATAACCAAGAAAATATAAACAGTGTTGTATAAACATTTATATTTTATGATCAACTTCAAATACTTTTTTCTTTATTTGGATAAATCAAGGAAATATAAGATTCTTTATTTTGTGACATAAATAATCAAATCATCCATAATAACGTAGATTAAAAATATATTTACAAAATTATAATCACACGTTTTATTTAATTAGAATTCTCACCCTTTTTATAATTTAATAATTTACAGCATTTATGAATATGTAAATGTTTATCGTGGAATACTGAATAAATATCTGTGTATTTTATATATAATATTATTTTATAAAGGTTATTAACTATATTTTTGAAGTACCCTGTCCATAAGTTATAAAATATGATCTTGTTATTTGGTTCAGCATGATCAACACGTTTTCATAATTCCAAAGAAATATATGTTTTATTATTATAATGAAATTATTTATGAAATAAAAAATAGAATATAAAAGAGCATAATTTATAACATATTATATATTATTATCATCATTAAGTATTTTGCTTCATCTTCTAATACTTATTTTATGTGAAAAAAAAAATTTTCATAGAACAAGTTAAGCCTTTAAATATATTGCTTTTTACTTATTTACAATATATGATTATGTACCTATAGAAAAAAAGATTATTTTATATACTGTGCTGTAGATTCTCATAATCATATAAAAACAAGTTGAACATATTATTTGTATTCGGTTACCTCCAAACCAGTACAAGTTATATAAGAATGTATTTATATATAGCCCCTTTTATATATAATGTTTTCCCAATAATTCATGTCTATGGATATACATATATTCAATAAAACCATAGTAACTCATTAAAAACATTCAAAATCTTATTCTTACTAAAAATTTAATATATGATATATATAAAACCTTTAAAAATTTTTAAATTATTATATATAAGAAATAAAATATCAGGGATGAACCTTTTGTTTATATAAATGATAAAAAATTGATTGTATTAAATTTATATATACAAGTTTCCTTTATAAAAAAATATACGTTATAAGTGATCTTTCAAAGAACTTATGAAATTTAATAGAATTTTTTTGTTTAATACATTGGAAGATATATCATTAAATTAGAAGCTTGTTTTTTAAAAACACATAATAAATATATTCAAAATATCACCATTGTACATGGGTATAAAAGAAAAAATATGTATATAGCAATACACATATTATATCAAAAATATGTAATATAACACAATTTTAAATTTTAAATATAAAAAACATTTTCAATTTTCTTAATATTTAAAGATTACATATAAGATTAATAATTACGTACTACATTAATAGTGTTTCATCCTTAATTTATTGTTTAAATCTCATCATACTATATATGAAAATAATTACATACCTCAAATAAAATTATCCATATTTTTGTAATAATAAATTTTTACATATATTTTTTATATCATTATAAATGAAAAAATAAATATATAATATTATTGAAGAAATATTTTCTTCCAAAAATCACTATGTATTTAAAACGTATATCAATGATTCCTTTACGAAAAAAGTGCATTTATATATAACAAAATAATAAATAATGAATTGTATATATATAACTATAAATAGTGATATTGTTTGTTTAGAAAAATTATGCAAATATATTTATTAATTTATATTATGCGATATTATAATATTATATAAAAGAAAAAATATACATACATAAATACCTATATGCATGCATTTTTGCATACATAAATATTCGTTACTATGAAAAACTAAATAACTCATTTTTTTTCCTAAACATTTTAGCAATAATAGTGAAAAGGTATATCATTTAAAGAAATAAAAAAATATATTATTCGAATAAAAGAAAAAATAATAAAATGATTTTAATGATAAAGTGAAAATGAAATGGTATAATATATCTTAATTGTGCAGAATTATCTGGAAAAAAACGTTTTATAAAATATAAAAATTATTAATTATAAGTGTATAAATATAATTCATACAATCATATTATGTAAAAATTAAATATATTATATGTTATAATTAATAATAATTATGGAAAGAACATTTACACAAATCCCATATAATAATTATATAATATAAATATGAAATGTCTATTATTAATATATTATTATTGATAATATATAAATAATGTATTTACACTATATATGAATCCAAAAATAATTAATATAAATTATAATATATACTCATATAGAAACTTTATATACATATTTTATGACATTGTATATAAATATATAAATCCTTATCGTGAATTATAAGAAAAATAACACAAAAAAATAAAACCTAAAACTGAAACTATAACATTATAAAACTGCATCCTAAATATGAACGAATACCAAACCTTCTATGTAATAAGAACAAACTATACTATAATATTATAATATATAAAAATGAAAGTTTTATTCAATTATATTTATAAATTAATAAGTATAATACATGTAATATCATTATTATATTAATTCTATTACTTTTAGAACGCTATAATTTATAATAATAAATATAATTTTATTTTATTATTATTTAGAATATATAATGAGTAATGAAGTAGCTAAAGTTCAAGTAAGTTTCTACATATTATTAAAAATATAATTCATACAGTTATGTTTATAAGTGTCATATTTATGAAAATCAAATAAAAATATTTTTCTTGTTAATATAAAACATTTATATGCATTACGAATTTCAATATTAGATATCTTTTAAGGATATATTTCCCACATGTCAGGATAATTACAATATTTCTACATTTGAGGCGCTGAAAAAGAATAAACATTTATATCATACTAAAATAGAGCCGGCCTGCAAAAATATTAGTAGGAAATTTACTCCTGGTGCAAGGGGAAATAATACTTTCCATACATCTTGCGACAAACTTGGTTATTATTTGTACAAAATAAAAGGTAAAAATGAGAAGAATAGAAAGCACTATTGTGAATTTTTTATCTATGAACTAAAACGTGAAGTAAAGAATAAGGTTTATAATATTCCTAAGTTCGTTGATGTTTACAATCAATTGATGAATGCATACAAAGACGCAAAATTAGAAGATATTGATGTATGTAACGAATATGTATCATTAATGGATGATGAACTTTTATATCAAATATTCGAAATGTTTGATAAATTATATAAAAATTTCAAATATTTAAAAAATGAAAATCGTGATAAAGATAAAAACCTTAATGAATGTGTAAAAGTATATGACGAAATTATTAAAAAAGATAAAAAAGAGTATAACAATTTTGTTCAGAATGAACTGGAGAAATTTAAAAGTGATTTTCATAAATATTTAAGAAAAATTTCTTACAATACTGAAGATAAATTACTTACTTCTTCCTTGATGATATCACCTGAAAAAATAAGAGCAGAAAAGATATCAGGCAATATTGCATCTCCAGTGACATGGACAAGCACGATTGTTTTATTTTTTGCAATATTAATAATTATATTCATCGTGTATAATGTTAAAAACAATTTTAATTAATTAATTATTTACTCATTAAATATTTATAATATATTTTATAATAAATATATAGAATATAATTTGTGCATTCATCATAGAAATATTATATTCTTTTTTAATTTTCAGTATACTTCTTTTGGGTCATACTTTCTGCGAAGGAGAAGAAAGTTAAGAAATAAGTGGTATACAAAAAATAAAAAACATTACGAATTAATGAATTTATTTGAAGAGTCACAGAAAAATATAATTCAAAATAAACACAATATATTATATAAACCTGCGGACTAGTCTTAATAAAAGTGCTATATAAACCAGTAAACCTAACTGACATTGAATAATAAATAAAATAAATTACAAAAATGATTAGTTGTAAGACAATAATTAATATAAAATTGAAAATTAATAATTTAAAATAATGACTAAATTATAAATATCTTCTAATATTTTCTAATTTATCTAATAATTCACCTGAATTTATTTAATTAATTCCATATAATCAACAGTAATTACAGTTTTTATAAAAACAATTAGACTAAATAATTAATCTATAGATATACATTTACAAAAAGATATATAAAAGGAATTCAAAGTGAGGATCATGAAACGGATGAAAAATTATAATTCTATATTACAAAAATAATACTTCTGTTTTTATTATAACACGAATAGTGATAATGCTTGTAATATCATTATTCCTATTTATTGTATACAAGGTTAACAAATTCATTGTTATTAATATAGCATAATTTGCTTATATAATTCATAAAAAATGAAAATAGATCATGATAATTATGCAGTTAACCCATTTATTTTACTTATTATAATTTGGTTCACCTGTATGTTTCATATTTCAACAGTACAATGAAAAGAATAAGAAATATGTGAGATAATATTGATGAAGATTGAAATATAAAGAAACCATCTGAAATATCCAAAAATATTTCAACGTATATGAGATATAATGACTTATAAAAATAAGAACACTTTTCCAAATAAATATATAATTAGAAGGAAATGATAGATATATAATGCATTGGCTAAGGAGAATACAATGTAAGATTGTTATAGTGGTGAAGAAACATATTTTTGTTTTAATTGAATATTCAAACTTATAAAAAGTAAGAGAGTAAGAAAGATTTCTTATATTAAATAAATACTCCACATATATGTTTATTCTCTCTAATAATATATACGTATACAGTTCTCAATAATGTAATATAAGGAAAGTATACATAATTTTTCAGATGATTGTTGTTTAATATGAGGAATTATTTCTATATATATTTAAAAGAATATAAATGATATATTATTAATAAACATTTTTTTTTTTTTAACATTATTATATATTATTTATGTTATAATAAATAATGAAGTTTTCATATTTCATATATATATATGCTTATTAAATTTTTAATTAATAATTTTTCATTATATGATATATATAATACTATACGTTGATATTATGATTTAAACTAATAAATAAAAATGGAATTTCATTAAAAAATATATATTATTAAATATGATAATAAATAATTTTTCCTATATATATAAAATATTGTATACAATTTTACATATAATCATTTCCTCATGTATATTTCTGCAAATTAATATCCTTATAATAAATATATCATAAGTATAATTGTAAATTTATTTGTTAATTAGTCTTCATTATTATATATATAATATATTATTCGGATCTATATATCATATGATACATAAAATATTTATATATTTTTATCTTTTTTAATAGATATCAATCATATACACATAGTTAGATGATATACAGAATTGAATAAGACACAGTTTTTTTGTTTTTTTCTTCATAAAAAATAGGCATTATTATATTATTTATATTTTATATTTGATACAATATTTCGTATTCATTTTTATTGAATGTCTATACAGGATCCAAATTAAAAAAAAAAATAATACAATACAAAAAATATAAAAGAATTGAAAAAATGTGTATATATTTAAAAGAAATATATTAATAAAAATCTTGATTAGCATCTACATTATTAAATTAAAATTGATATTTTGTTTTCGTATAATATATAAAGCAAGTAATTATTAATAACACAAAAAAGAACTATTATTTTTTACTGAAATATTATGTTCATACTGAGATTACAAATTTATATTGGAAATAATACAACAGATTTATAACATAATGATATTAATATTATGTTTGAATATTATTATTTCACAGGATATATCAGTAATGTTCAATTTATAGCATCATTTATATTATACATATACATATAACAAAAAATTTTTAACTTTTCCTAATAATAATTTGGATTGTTTTTTGAAATGAATTTAAATTATTAATAATAGATGTTAATATTTTTTATTTTTTCCTTAATAATTTTTATAATTATTTCTAGGCAGATATTATATGTAGTATAATTATCCATATTGTGCAATGCACGAATTATTTAATATGTTAAATATATAATTTTTATATTTTTTTAACACATAAACAAATATATCTTTCAAGTATCCAAGCTCTTAATAATAACAGAATATATTATATCATAAAACATAAATCATAAGAACGAATGAAATTATTTAACTTTTTGCATTTCATGGCTTAAGTTAAGTTATATTTTATAACTTATGCAATATACATTTTTTCTTTTTTAAGGATATTTTATAAATTATAATTATATTTTCATAATATAATCAATAATGTATATAGAATTTTAAATAATAAAATACATAAAATATATATTCAATGCTATAAGTCAAAAAGTTTAAAGATAAAAAAAAATTATCCCATACTTGTAAAACTAAAATACAGAATAATATTTTTATAATTCACATGAAGAAAATTGATGTGTACTTTTATTAAAATTTCAATGTACATTGTGCGAAAGTGTAATACATATATATTTTACATGAATAACAATAACATATAATAATTTTATTTTTACTTTTAATAATAAATTATAAAAAAGTAAAATATTTATGTAATATAACAAATAGTATACATATAATATATTATAATGAAGGATTCGTTATTATATAATATTGAAAAACATTTGTAAATTCATTGTATTAGTAGTTTATACGTGATTAATATTTTAGTGTAAGAGCTATAAGAAATATATATTTTATTTACCTATACATGTAATAAAAATTCATCATTTACCATATTAGCACGCATATAATATATTATGGATAGTTATTTTTATTTCATATTATTTAATTATACTAGAAATTCGTTAGAGCAAATTTTTATGAAAAATGAAATGAAATTTTTATTTTATATAGTAAATACACTATTTTTATATATTTATCTTAATAATTAAATTAAGAAAATGAAATATAAAAAAATGTTATACTGAGACACTCATATGCTTAGCATAATTTTATTTACATCAATAGCTCTTTGAAATGATATTTAAAAAAATTACATAAAAATTAATAGTTATACATTAATTATTAGTATAATATAAATTTAGGTTATAATAAAAACAGATAAATCTTATACATTTATTTTCCTTAATGATATATTGCATAGTACAACATTTTTAGTACAATATATGTATTCCTTTAAAATATGATCAATTATTTTTTTAATAATATAAATTTAAATATTATGTAAGATAAATATAATACTATATACACTTATTTAATTACTGAAGATACCAAAAATTAGAAAATATTTAATAAATATTATTTATAATCTTCTTGAATAGAAGGCATGTTTTTTCATGTATATTTGTATTTCATATCTGGTATTATATATTTTTCTTATCTAATTTGAACTTAAGATATGTTATAGGTCTTTAAAAATATACTTTTACTACATTTGACTATGTGAATAAATTCTTTTAAAACATTTTGTATGCTTCTATTTAGAGTATCATAATTTTTATAAATATTGCAAAAGTATTTGATTTCTTTATATTATGTTCGTCAATTAGTATATAAACCATTAAAATACATGCAAAAATGAAAATCATACGAATAAATAAATTACTTATAATATATTTATGTTTATTTTTTATTACACATGCTCATTAACATTAACAATATTATAGAATTAATATATATAATAATTTTAACAATTAATTATAAATATGCTTTTTAATTCATGCCTTAGTGCCATACATTATGCCGTTTTACTGGTGAATTAGAAAAAAAAAATACTTGTCATTTTTTATTGTATATGTTTTTGTAATAAATATGAATAAAAATATTAAATTTATAACATTTCTTTTATTTTATATATTGCAGAAGAAATTTTAAGTTATATATTTTTAATAATTATACAAAATATATTAAACTGTGTAATAATGCTATTTTAGGGTAATATAGAATTCCTTTGTTATTATATAATATATCACATTAATAAATTGTTTTTTAATTTAATATAATTATATTTTACATTGAATAACACTATATTTATCATGTTATACATATAAAACTATGATTATAGAATAAATGTTCTCTAAGGGCAATGGTGTTGAAGGTATTATCTTATAATCAATATTTTCGTTCTATCATATATTTATATTTATTTATAGATATATTGATATGTGTGTATATATTATAAATATGTGTGTTTCTTATGTAGGTTCAGATGTGAATATTAAGAATGATTGATTCATAATTAACAACCTTATTGTTCTTATATATAAAATGATAGTTTTTAACAGAATAAATTATAGTAAATTATGTAAATTTTATTATATCAATGAATACTATAAATAAAACTTGTAACACTGTATAAAATTAAATATATAAAGCGCGATGAATATTAAGGTTGTAAAATTATATATATAGATTTATTTTTTTTTATAGAGATAATCCTTTTGTTATGGGAAAGATATTAATCAATTTTAACATAAAATATTTATTGCTTTTCTCATTTACTATTTTTTTCATACGAATATTTTGCAATATATACTTTTTAATATTTAAGTCAAATAGGATGAAGAAGTAAAACATCAGAGATATACAAGAACCAAAACTTATAATTAACCTTATATTACACAAAATTATGAATGTTATTAAACGAAAAATAAGAGAATATTTATTGGTTACTAAAGCATGATAAATTATTCTAGGATCTTTCACAAATATTTAAGTAATAAAATATATATATACTTATTAATAGATAAATAGGATTATAAAATCAGTCACACTATAACATAATGAAAATATTGTCTTGAATTAAGAAAATGTTAAATAATGATACATTTCATAATAATTATACTTTTTTCATTAATGTATTGATTTTCATTATAGACAAAATACTTATATCTTTTTTATAGTTTATGTACATAAATATATTAATGTTTTTATAAATAAATTAATACCTTACACAAGACTCTTTTATATATATTTTTCCTAGCATTTTATTTTTCAATAGCACTTAATAAGAATTATGCATATAATAGCACATTATATTCACATTATATTATAATAAATAAATGGTATTCATTAATATACATGAATTTTTTGAAGTTATTATTACTATTTTGTATTGCTATAAAAAAAAAATTAATATTTCTTATTATTTTTCTTGTGGTAACATATATTAAATATAATTTTTATTCCAAAATAATGAAATGTACTATTTCGTTTTCATTAATGGATGAATAAAAATACACAATTATGAGAATATTATAAAATTAACATATTCTTTCAAATTTAATAATTTTTTAATGTTCATTTATACCACTTAATTTATAATGATGAACAATTCATAAATATATTGATGGCTCTGTCAAAAAATATCGTGAATAATATATAAATTATTACGAATTATAATGTAGAATAATGATCGGTTACAGTTTTTTGTATAAAATTTTTAATTAATGCATGAATTTTAGTTCATATTTTAAAAGTAACATTATGATAAAAAATACATATATTAATCAACCACATAAATATTCATTATCTAGTCAAGATTTCTTTGATTTATTAAATCAAGTATATTTCACATGTATTATTCCGTTATAATAAATAAATTGTCATTTATAATTGTTAAAATTATAAATCTAATTATATGCGTACACAAAAACAGAAATAAAATAAAAAAAATCTTAAAAAATGATATAAAATTTAATTTATTTTTTTAACAATTAACTTTACAATGTAAACTAACACATTATGTTTTATAAATTAGTAATACTAAAAATATCCGTTACATATTTATTATAAATTATTAATACTTAAACAAAAATAATAAATTAATCATAAATTAAAAACATGCATTATACTTATATAATATTTAGTATGGTAATATATAATTTAAAAATACACATGCTCTTACAATTGTTATTTACATCTATAATTATATTATATTTTAAAACAGATCATTCATCTGATAAATATATATATTATAATAATGATAAAATTACATTAATATTAAATATATTACATGCATTGTGAAAATACAGTAACGTATATAAGATGATATAAATTATGATATTAAGATTTAATAAAAGGATACAGTACATTGTAAAATTAAAACATGCTTACTAAAACCTAGAAAATACAGAAAAAAAAATTAAAATAAACCTTAAATTTTAAGTGCCTCAGTATTGACGAATATATACCAAATGATACTTTTTGAATCCTAAACATGAATTATAGATATAAAATTTTAAATTAAATCCGTGATTCTGTAACTTAATCCTAAAAATATATCAAATAATATTTTCATAACTATATATAATATATTGATATAGATTTTCTCATGAATTTTATCAATTTATGTTTCTCATCGCTTTATTACATAATTAAAATTATTTCATTTTTATTATCAATTTACACAAGTGTTCATTATATATGTGCTTACACTTTTATTATATTTATAATAATTTGAATATTATGCTATACGTTTTTGTTAAATTATTCTGAATTATACACTATATTATATCCATTATTCATTGATATACTATTAAAGTCTTCATGTTGATGCAACATATTCATTTCTTCTTCTTTATTTATGAACTCACTTATTTTACGTCTTAATTTATAGGGTAAGCGTGTAAGGAATGAGGTATACTATTTCATTTGAAAAAAAAAAAATTGGTAAAAAATCTTACATTATTTTTATGATTAATATTTTTCATTATAGATAATTTAAAATTTTTATTTTATAGTAAAAATATATTGGAATAATATCATCACTAACCTTAAGAAAAATAAATAACAACAGTAATACTACTAATGTAACAAGAATTGTAATTATTATATTAGCCTTTGTATTAGTTTGCATAGAGGATAACCTTTCTGGTTTATCACATTCACATAATTCAGATATATTTTTGTCATTATATGTTTTAATAATATTTTTTAATGTAGCACAAAAATGATTGTCTTCACATATTTCTTCATCATGTTCTATTGTCCTAAGACATAGAGATGTTTCATATAAATATTTGACTTTTTCAAAATTATCATTGGAAGTAATATTGTCCGCATACGTTTTACATGGGTTATGTATTCCAGGATAATCATAAATACTCATAAATTTTTGGTAAAGATTTTTTGTATCACAACTTTTACCTTTTTTCAAAAGTTCATGATATATCCAATAATACAGGTATGAACAAAGGATATTTTGAGGTATTTCATTCTTATAACGAGATAAATTATCTATATATGACATAGCTGTGGTGCAAATAATATAATTATCTGAACTATTATCTGTTAAATATTTTTTCATAATATCTTCACATTTTCCTATGTAACTTCTGTCTCTTTTAGCTTTTTGATCCTCTAACGTCTTTTTACATCCGGGGAAGGAACTTATATAATCATACTAAAAATAGGAAATAAGACAAAAAAAGTATTATACGGAAAAATTAATTTTTATAATAATTATGAAGTAAAGAATACACAATTATTATATGATAATATAATATTATATTAAAAGAAACTTACAATATTATTATCCATCTACCTAAAATTATATACTATATTCGATGAACATAAAAAAATAATGAAATACATTAATATATATATATTTATATAAAATTAATAACATTATATATAGAATATATTTTCCGCACTTTTTGATAAATATAAAAATTATGAAATATTGCTACCCACATAATTGATCATTATTTTTTTTTTTTCAGTTAAAGTTATAGTATTATTTATTTAAGGAAGTATATTATTTAATTAATGAACCCCAAATTAAAGAACAAATATTTACTACTTAATAAATAAATTGTATAATATATATTGTTAAAACGTAATAAAATATTTCTTATTATATAAAAATGATATTATTATATCAATACTATAAAAAGAATTAAAATATATCACATTAATATCAGTCATTCATTTGAGCATATATATTTTTATATTAATCATTATTACTAAAGGTTACATAATCTTATATATTTTTTAACATAATGTATATTTAGGACATATATATAAGGTTGGAATATCTAGGTCTTATTATTAAATATGATTTTTTACGTATTCATTAAAGTAATCTTCTATGAGAAATGGTTATATAATTTTTCATAATAGTGCATAGTGAAATTTTTTATTCGTATTACATCAGGTTATTCATATAAATGAAATATATTTTATTATTTTTTTAGTTAAACGTATTATATAATTACATATTTTATATTTACATCATGCTTATTTGTAAAATATATTCATAATACAATATTTCTTAGGTAATACTTATTACATTTATAATATATATATTTATATTTTTTGTAAAATAAAATTTTTTAAAACATAACTATACAATTTATAATAATTAGTGTAACTTTTGCATCATAATAGGTCATTTATTGAATTTTATATTCATGTCATATTCTTATTATATATATCTCAAATATTTATATTTTCCTTTTTAAAAATTCATATTATCATTTTTGTGTTTTTACAATAAAAATTATTTATAGCAGAGTATACATATATTTTCTGCATACTAAAAATAATTTATTGTTTACAGTAACAAAACAAAAAGGATATTTTTTTTAAGATATATTATAATATTTTTATTTTCTGTTACTGCAAAATATATATTTATATCCTTTTTTGTATATTAATTTTATAGGGGGATATATAGAGTTAAAAATATATATTCCTTTTTCTTCTATTTATTTGAGTGGCATTGTCTGTTGTCTAAATATGTATCGAAATATTATTCTGGAATTTATATAATTAATAATAAGTGTAATGATTTTATAATTAGTTATATGAAAAGAAATTTTAAATAAAATTATATTTTCAAATGTTTTTTATAATATTTTTTATAAAAGAAAGAATGTATAAATTATTGTAAATTGAAGAAAAAGAGATTATTAGATACCACGCACATCTTCACATATATGTTTATGTAAATTAAACATTAATTAATGAGTAAGGGTTATTTTATCAATGGGATTATATTGATTAAATATACATTTAATTATATAATAAGTATAGTAGATATTTTTTTATATTTAAAATTTGAACTAATTTTATGTTTTTTAACATTTCATGCTATTGATGTATATATGTTCATATTATTATATATTAATCTATTAATGATGTATAAAATTTTGTAAATATTTATTATTAAGTACTAACGAGCTCAGAATCCGATTTATTCCAATTTTTTTCTAAGGCTCTCTAAAATAAATTCTGTCTCAATATTCATATATTTTATGGATAGATCTAATATATTAAAAATTTTATTATAAATAAATATATACATAATTGAATTTTAAATACGAATTTATTTTTTATGAATTAAATTTTTATGTACGATATTATTATTTTTTTATAAAACATCACGCATTATAGGCATGTCATATGTTACATTTTTAATCATTTTTCTTATAAAAAAGTGTTATAAGAATAATATAATTGTAAATGGTTATATTATATAGAAAAAAATAAATAATTAAAAAATATATAATAAAAAAATTGACTATATATGAATTTATTTAAATATAATTTTACGTGGCGTTGAGAATATAAATATTAAAGAAAAAAAAAAATGACAACCCATTATCACATTATTATGATAAGCTATAACATAATTTATAAAAAATATATTTTTTATAAAAATATAATTATTTATAGAAAACAAAAATATTAATGATTAAAATATATAGATTTTTTTTTATCAATAACTATATTTTATATTATAAATAA